GGTGAGCCAACCAATTAGCGTTCGTGTACGTGAAACAGCAACCATGTGCTATGCACTGGGCGAGCCAACCAATTAGCGTTCGTGTACGAAACTATGTCTACTCAGCTTCGTGTAGAAAATTCGACCAAACAAGTTCTTCCATGGTTTGCCACACGAAGCTAAGGAGGAAAGCAATAATTTTGAGCACCATCGGTAGTTGTTCATTTCACTCAGTTCACATGGTTTTAGATTATAACAACCCACTATTAGACTCAATCAACGTTGATGTTTAATGAAAATACGTTGCATTAGGGTTTGTTTATTGTTATAGTTTATTGTTATATTCTTTTTACTTATGTTTGCTCTCAAAAGGGCCGTTTGTTTTGAATATTTTCGGGGTTTTTGATGACGTCATCGTCCATACGAGGCGTACGTAAAACAGAGGGTTCGTATAACTGGGGTACGTAAAAACGAGGTTCTACTGTATAATGTATATTTTCTAGCTTATTTTATAATAAAATAAAACATGGATATTATGTAAAAATGACATACTGGAGCATAATTGGAACATCATACTACTGTATAGTGCAGTTGACTGGTGATCACTTCTGCATGTGCGCTGAACCTTAGAGACCTTTGTGCCCTGGTTCTTTAACATTAAGCAGTTCTTTCTATGAAACACAGGTTATAGCACACTATTTTTCAAAAGAGTTATTAACTGTTGACAAAGAAATATGTCTAGTATGCCTGGGCACAATTTATGTTTGATAAAGAAGAACTGTTGGTTCCTTGTTCAATATGGCCCATGTGCAGATTAAAGATTGCAGTAAACTCTTTGAGAAAGGGATTGTCTCCTGGTGTCATCCTCAAATTACCTTTAAGGGTGGTACTGCACTGTACTTACCATGGTTTTTCAGGCAGTAATAGGAGTCGGAGGGGCTTTCAGGCGCGGATCCCATTTTTACCCTTTTAAAAATTTCAGTGCATATCATCAGTGTTATGTATTGAAATAAGAAAAAAAAATACAAATTCCCCCCCCCCCCCCCCCCCCCCTTTGAAACAAATTTTGGGCATTTAAAAACAATTTTAACTTGACTTGTTTACCCAAAGGAATCTCCGTCCCTTTCTTCTTGTCCCCTCCCTCCTCATTTTTCTTGCAGTCTTTTCCTTGCTAGTACACTCCCACCATTGTGCCTTGCTGTTACACAGAATAACATACTGTAAACGCATATTATAATAATAAAACAGGCTTCTATGTACTTTTACATTCATTCCCCGGTCATTGAAACACATTCTCAGCTCCCCGGGGGAGAATTTAATGATGTTGCAACTGCTGTAGTTGGGCATGTTATTGTTCAAACCAATCAGGTACACTCATGCACTCCTGGGTGGAGAGATAATGGTAGTTAAAGTGCATTGCTGAAGGACACAATCACAATGCACAGCATGACTTTGAACCCTGACCACGAGCTTGAGAACCCAAACCACTACCACTGCATCAACTACTCCCACTGGTACAGTGCAATTCCATAGATGATAACTCTTTAAGAATATTTAATGGCTAATATTTCATCTACAGTACCTTTATAATCATAACAATATCAAATTGCATTGAAAATGCAACAAACATATAGGCAACCTATTCATAATCATTTATTTAAGAGTTAGCCCTGAATCAGTGACATCGTTGCTTCCTTCAGGGCCCTCTAAATTCTGTAAATATACACAATAGATGTATTGGAAATTTCCAAATATTAGCTATATAAAAAAACAACATTAAAAATCAAAGTAAAGTATGAATTAAGGCCTGTCCAGGCTAGAAAATTTTGTGTGACAAAAACATGACATGTGACATGCCTAAATATGGTCATGAAATCATGACATCATGACCATATCATCACATCAAAAGAAAAAGAAAGAAAGTAAGAAAGAAAAGAAAGTCAGAGAAAGACAGAAAAGAAGGTAAAGGAAAGAAAGAAAAGAAACTAAGAAAGAAAGAATACAAAGAAAAGATAAGAATACGAAGAAAAAAAAAAATTAAAAAAAACGAAAATGAAAAGTTACTAACACCACAGAAATAAAAAGAAAAAGAAAGAAGGAAAGAAAGAAAAGAGGGTAAAGGAAAGAAAGAAAAAAAAACTAAGAAAGAAAGAAAACGAAAGGAAAGATAAGAATACGCAAGAAAAGAAAAGAAAAATGAAAAGAAAGAAATGAAATAAAGGGAAAGGAAAGAAAGGGAAAAAAGGAAAGATATGAAGAGAAAGCAAAAAAAAAAAAAAAGAATTAAAGACTAAATTCGTAGAATAAAATTAATATTAATATTAATATAAAATTAATATTAATATTAATATTAATATAAGTAGCTCAGCCTAATTGGAGGGAGGAGAAAAAGAAAGGAATGGTAAGTACATATATATAAAAAAAAATAATAATGCACGACTGCAGGATTCTCTTTTAAATGGTTAAATTAGTTTGAATATTTTAAAATAATGGCTAATTTTTCTAATTAATATGTATTTACAACATAATATAATGTAATAAAATACAGGATTGTTAAATATAATCTAAGATTATCATGAGATGTAATATGCCAACTAGATTTTCTAGTCAATGGCTGCCAATAACTGATATATTTTCAGTGGCTAAATTTATTATTATTATATTAGCATACAATATTTTTTTGTGAAATAAAATTTGATAGTCAGGACAGGGCTTTAGTGTGTCCCAATGGGAAACTTGAAGGGTGCGCGTGGTGGTTCTGGTGGTAGAACAAGTCTTCTCGGATAAGGACTATAAACCGTAGGCCCAGTGTATACAATGGCTCGTGTGCACTATAAAGAACCCTGTACATCCTTCGAGACGAGTAGGGGGATACCCCGGTGTACTGGAACAGACAGCCCCTGTGGTGGACGACGAGAGTTGCCGGTACCGGGTTACCGGGTAGCACATACACGAAGGGACCCTTAGGGGCGAAGAAAGTCATTGATCGAGTCACTAGTCCACATTTCAAGCGCCCTGAGCATCTTACATTAGATGGATTTGTGCGCTATATAAAACTACACTATTATTATTATTA